TGATCGTTATATTTTTACACAAGAGCTATGGGACTCGCAGTCGACAGACATACCGACCGAGGGGACAGAGGATGCCGAGGCATCAGATCCAGAACCCGAGATACCAGATCTGCCCCCTTCAGTTGCTTCACAGACGATCCAGCCACCAGGCAGCGCAGAACAGTCCACAGGCACGACGCGAGATCCGGATCATGCGTCTCCAGAAACCCTCTCGGCACCCGCAACAACGACAGCCCAGACGCTTCGTGCGAGGGGGCCCCAGCCGTCGTCAGCACAAGATACTGCAGCCACGACGGCACGCGCAGCCCTCTTTGCCAACCGGCGCACCACTACCGGCCTGTCTACGAAGACGGGCTCCTCGACAGCCACCGCCGAAGCCATCCTCGATCACCAGCGTGCCGAGCAAGACGCTCTGTCCGGCTCCATTTTGAAGATGGCCAGTGCGCTCAAGGCGTCATCACAACGGTTCTCTACGACGCTCGAAGAGGACAAGGCCTTGCTGAGCCGCGCAGGAGAGGGCATGGATCGGACGGAAAAGGGCATGGATGCCGCGAGCCGACGCATGGGCGCACTGAAGCGCATGACGGAGGGAAAGGGGTGGTACGGCAGAATGATTCTCTATGCCTGGGTATATGGGCTCATGGTTGCGTTGGTGCTACTGGTGTTCGTTATGCCGAAGCTGCGCTTCTGATTAATGAGTTAGTAAACGTGGGATGGTAACGAGTAAGGCGCAATCTGGGAAACACCTCAAATGGTGGAAGACTTCATGTCCTAAGGTATTCACGATCCTATCAGCGAGAAACGCTCGCCGAGCTATTAAACTTAGCCAACCCAGAAGCAAGAGAAACATTTGTTTCTGGGTATCCTTTCTATGAACGCCTTGAATCGTCATCCTGATTACCCTTGCAAACCCGGATGCCATGCCTTGTTATCCATAAGAGCAACCATTCCCCCCTGGGTATCTCGCGACCCATCGGTAGCGTTGCTAGACGCACTCATGCGAAGCAACCTGAATTATATGCAACGGCTACCGAGCGAAACATGCAAATCGTGGCAGTGCTTGCCTCGATATTTGCCGGCGAAGTCAAATCGTACGTCTCGTAGCACAAATTCAGTTCGTCTTCGGCTTGAAGTGTGCCGAGACATTGGGGTGCAGATCTGATGATTGAAACATCAACTCCTCTTCAGCGAATGGTGCAAAGCACGCTTCAGTCCGGGGCGCGCTCTGTCGATACTGAATTAAGTTGCTGGCTTCGTCGGCAGGAGATACGTCTGTCTGCATGGCAGTGTTCAGTCCTTGGGAGAGCACGTAGTCGTCATCTGCCGAAGACTCATTATTCGAAAGAACCATGCTGATACCACTGCGGTGTTCGCCGGTCTCTTGGTCCACGAAGCAGTGCATTTCGATACCGCTGCTGCCATGAGCCGCAGTTTTGGCGGACATATCCTTGAAGCTCGGGGCTCGAGTGTCGAAGTCCTCGACGGGTTCGTTCGTGTGGGCAGGGTCATCCTCGGGGCTGGCAGGGTTATGACCAGCAGGCCAAGGGCGTTCGCCGTGCATTTCAGTCATGAGATCGCTACCGTCGTCGAACTTGCTGACGCCAAACATCTCATCAACCATACCTGACACGTCATCCAGGCTCAATTCCATGCTGATAGTCCTGCTGCTGGGGATTTTGCCTCCAGGCTGTGGGATGGGCTGGCTGAAGATATGGGCGACTTGTTCTTCACTCAGAGGCCGTAAGGTGCCCTCCTGCGTAATCTCAGCACCTGCGGTTTCTCGCATCGCCTTCGTGATATGGCGAGCCTCAGACTTGTGTTTCGCGGCCTTCTTGACCCGCTTGGTGACCACCCTGACCTCGCCTGCGCCCATGAAGGTGCCAGCACTCTCAGGAGTGCGAAAGGCAGCCATGTCCTTGCCGGTGTCTCTCTTGCGCTTCTGCGACCAGGTCATGTGCTCGAAAGCTTCTCTGATTCTGGCTCTGTCGCAGGGCTGCAACTTCACTCGGCTCAGAGGGTTCTCCTCAACGTCATCGCTAGGAATCTCGAGATAGTCTGGCTCAACGATCGTGCGGCTTTTCACCGGCTCCTGGTCCTGAGAGAAGTCACGAGCCTTGGCCTGTTCGATGGGAAAGTCATCAAGTTCGCCGATGATACGAGCAAACTCGGTCTTGCTCAAGATATCCCGAACCCCTTGGCTAGCATTGGCAGCCTTGAGCAGCACATCAATTGCTTTGCTCTTGTCAGAGGCAGCCTGTTGTCTGCCAGAGGATAATCCTCAAGGTCGACTCCGCAATTTTTTTGACTTCTTTCAGAAACTGACTGGCCTTCTTCACCGTTGGCATCTTTGGCGGCCTGGTCGATAGACTCTTGGATCAATTGTGCCTGGGCAGCGTCCGTCCCGGCAACAGCCTCGTCGAAAGTGGGCACACTGAGGCTCCTGAAACTCTCAACCATATTGAAGGAGCTATGAGTGGCTAAGTTTTTGTCAGCCAAGAGTTGATCGAGTTTGAATAGAGGAGCATCTCCGGGTTGAGGTATCTCAAGCTTCGTCTTGTCTGGCGAACGGGCTTCATTATGGTAACCGCTGTATGTGCTCTGATGGTGTTGAGCCACAGAATAAAGAGTTCGATCCAGGGCTTCTTCGATGCCTTTGTCTTTGAGCAGCTCAAGCAACTCCTGTTCGGCGGTGTCTTGATTCATGGTTCCCACATCCGTCACGTCGCTAGTGCTGTAGTGGCTATTCTGCTCACACCCTTGAGCAGGATCTTGAGTCTTTGGGCCCTCAATCATTGACGGGTTCTTGTCGCTGCTTGTTTGCGTGTCACCAAATAAATCGTTGTGCATTCGTCGTAGTTGATGATTCAACTCAAGGCAATCTTCGTGTGTTCTTCCTCTGGTCAATCCTTTGCCAACGGGTTTGCCTCCCGTCTATCACTGCTATTAGCCACTAATAAAATGTGATGAATGTCGGTCAAGAATCGACATGTCATGACTTACGGGTGGTGTGTACTGGAAATAGGTACTTTCGGTCGTGCCTGCCTTGGTGATACGCTCGTGCCAGGCAATACCGGTCTTGAGCCTGAAGAAGTCTTTAAACTTGTCGAATTCGGTGTAAAAGGGGCGGGAACAGGGCGACGGTCGGTTGATGGCCTTCAACATCCACCTCTTTCCGTCGTCCTTCTTGTAGTACTTGACACCAAACCAGTAGAGAGTGGGTTTGGCAAAAGATTGGAAGAGCTAGTGGTCTTGTCAGTCGAAAACCCCCCGCGTTTTTGTCGCGACTATTGTGAGATCGAAGGAAACACCGTCCGTCGAAGACGCGTCGCGTTGCTCAGTTAGGCAGTGAATTGAGACTTACATAGAGAACGTATTTCTCCTCGCACGTGCCAAAATTGTCTGTGAAGATTCCGGAAGAGCTCAACCTGTTCTCAAAGGGAAAAACATCCGCAAAGACTCGATATAGATCTGATGCATCTTTCAACCTGACGCTCGCCACCGGGCCTTCGTTGCTCCCCCCCCTCTGTGATAAACTTACCTGGATTGATCCAGTGCTCGCCAATCGCCAGGTTCCTCTGAGACTTTGATCTGGCGAGCTGCTTTCTGCGCTTAGCTCTCTCCTCTGCGAGGAGGTTGTCGAAGTAGTACTCCTTCTCCGGAAGCTTCTTGTTACGGTTGCACGAGAATTCGAACCAGTCGTAATGCACAACGCGGATGCGACTACCCTTTTGCTGGGCCTCCTTAACTATTGTGACAGGAGTCAGCATCAAAGTCTGCTTTGAAATTGGCCTCGAGACGACATATTTTGAGAGGAAATATCTGGCTGAGGTCGAGTTGAACACACTTCTCTTGATCTTCTTTCGTGCCTTGTATTGCTCATCTGTGCAAAGTAGATGAGTGACAGATTGATTCATGTCCTTTACGAACTGACCCTTGCGTTGCTTGATCCACGTAGCTAGATTATCCTCTGTGAATTGGCCGGGCAGAGGCCCTGCTGTTGCCAGCACCATGTTCTTGAAGATCGCAGGCGCCATGGCTGCGAATGATATGAAAGGTCCTTAACAGGCAGGTATTGCAGTGCCTGATGCTCGCATTAGATAGCTTAGTAAATCTTGGGGAAACAGCGCAAATAGAAAGACCGACTGTATGAGACAATTCCAGCATAAGAAACTGCTGGGAGAAGATCTGTTCACCTTGTTCGTGTTTAGATGAATGCTAGATGGATTGTATAAAATGTGAGTTTGCGCGCAAGTGGATGGCTTCTCCCGAGATTTGAGCTAGCTGTAGGTGAAGAACCTTTGCTGAAACCTATGAAACTCTGATCCATCCCCGCGATTGAACTTCCTAGTCCTTCATGGAAGAGGTTGAGAGAGCCAGGGTTCAAGACCTGCTCCTGCTTTCAGTAAAATGCCCGAAACGAAACAAAACCATGGCTCCTGAGCGAAGTAACAAGGTGCTAATAGGCGTCTGTTCAATGTTCATATTGACCAAACCTGAAGGAACGACAGCAGAAGAGCGTACGCTTGCTTGGCAGCACTTTCCAGCAGACAATGATGCAAAGGCCTCCAGAAGACCACATCTAAAAAATCCGTGAAATCCTAGTCACATGCGTTGACCACCACTAGTTCGACAGGCTCTTGTTTTCCTAGACATGGGTTGGGTGCAATCTATCATATCTACGCAACTACATGACAACTTTTGGCAGCCTTGATGAACGCTCTGATCTTTTCCAAGCTCTGCTTGCCATCCTGTTCGACGCCACTACTCACATCAACGCCAATGACCTGGCTGGCATACTTTCCCAGGGCCCGTACAGCGTCAACCACATTGTCAGGGTTAAGGCCGCCAGCCAACATGATCCGCAGCTCAGGGTCCTGAGCTAGCGTGGCAGTCACACTCGAAAAGTCAAGGAGCTTGCCAGAGCCGGCGCCTGAGTCGAGAAGAGGGACCATGTGATAGCCACGGCGGCCGATTCCGACCTGACCAGGCTTGAAGGCGCGGATGACAGGCACTGGAATGAGGCTCGCCCACTCGATAGGCTCATCACCGTGAAGCTGCACGATGTCGAGGTTGAAGAGCTTTTGCTTGTGGAGCACCTCATCAAGGGGCTGATTCTGAAAGATACCGGCCAGGAGTGTTCTTGAACCAGACAACCGCGTCTTAGCCGAGCTAAAAAAGTCTGTCGCGACCTTGCCTGCTGCCGATGATCCCACAGGTGGCAGGAAACGGGTCGCCGAAGAGGAATGAACGACTTGCGAGATGGCTAGGGCAGTGTCATCAGAAATGCAACGCTTGGCCCCAGTCACTAAACAGATGCCGATGAAATCTGCACCTGACCTAACAGCCTCCTCCGCCGCCTCAGGGGTCCGTGTGCCGCAAATCTTTGCGAACAGCGGCTCTGGCGCGGGCTTCTCCGGCTCAGCGTCAGAGCCCGAACACAATTGTTTGATGAACTTGCTCGTATCTGAAGCCCTCATGATAGCCTCACCAACCAGAACGGCATTCACGCCATCCTTCTTGCACAACAGGACATCATCATATGTGTTGATGCCACTCAGCGCGCAGATGATGGTGTTCTCAGGCACCATGCTCCTCAGTCGGCTCGTCGTGCCCATGTCAACCTCGAAGCTTTCAAGATTCCTGTTGTTGACACCGATGGCCTTGGCCCCGAGGTTCAACGCGATTGTCATCTCCTCCGTGTTCTGTACCTCTACTAGGGGCTCCATCCCTAGCGAGACGGAATACTTGTAGAGCCTTTCCAGCTCCTCGACTGTCAGCATCTTGACAATGAGCAAGACGGTATCAGCACCAGCGAGCCTGGCCTCCAGAATTTGGTACTCTTCAAAGATGAATTCTTTCCGAAGAATCGCAGGTCGGTTGGGCATGCCGTCCAGAACTTGCCTCACCGCTCGCAGATCTTCGATGCTGCCCCTGAACCAATCGGGCTCTGTGAGAACAGAGATGACGCTGGCACCCGCGAGAGCATACTTCCGGGCTTGGGTTGGGGCGCTGATGCTCAGGTCGAAGATTCCCTTCGAGGGTGAGGCTCGCTTGATTTCCGCCATGAGAGCCACGTCGAATGGCGTCTGACGAAGTCGAGCAACAAATGGAATTTGCGGCGGCGCTCCGTTTAGGTCATACGTCGCTTGCAGATCCGCAGGTCTCTGCGAAGGGATCTCTTTCTGAGCGGCGACTGACTTCCTCCGGCGGTCGTAGATTTGCTGCAGGATATTGTTCTTCTTACCAGCAGCGGGCGGCGCCGGCTGTGCCGGAGTGCCAGTGCTGGCGGCACCATTGCTGGCAGAAGCCTTTTGCAGACGAGAGTTCTCTTCCCAAGTGCCTCCTTGAAGCAGAAGGAAGTTCTTCAGCATGGTACGACCTTCAGCCGTCAGGATGCTCTCTGGGTGGAACTGGACACCCTCGATGGTGTACTCTCGGTGACGGACACCCTGAATGACACCAGGCGAACCGTCACTTTTTGCTACCCACGAGGTCACCTCGAGGCAGCTAGGAAGAGTGACCTGCGTGCCGGCCAAAGAATGATAACGGGTGACGGGGAGCTCTTGGGGTAATCCAGCATACACACCCTTGCCATCGTGGGTCAGAGGCGAGGTCTTGCCATGTAACCATTCTCCGGCCGAGCTAACCTCGCCACCATAGACGTCAAATATGCATTGCTGACCCATGCAGACGCCGAAAATGGGGATTTTCCCGGCGAAATGTCGAATGGCATCGCGACTGACACCAGAGTCGGTCGAGGGATGGCCGGGACCGGGACTAATGATCAATTGCGTAGGATTCTTGCTGGCCAGCTCCTCCAGAGTAATCTTGTCATTCCGGTAGACCGTGACATTGGCGCCCTCGAGAATCAGGTACTGGTAAACGTTCCAGGTGAAAGAATCATAATTGTCGATGAGGATGAGGTTTGACGCCGTGGAAATTGGTGGCGAGGGGTCCGGATGGTGGGGAGAGTGATCGATGATGTCGAGCGACGGCATCTTGTCAGACAGCCACTTTTGCAAAGCGATATAATTCAATCGAAACCTCCTGGCGCGGCCCTTGGGGATTCTGTTGTTGAGAGTTGACGTGGCCTCGGTGAGTCAACTCAAACCAGCCTTTTGAGTTGCGGGCGAAATACGTGTGATGGAACCCTCAATACTGTGTTTTGTCCGTTTGGCACGGTGGTCCATGGCTCCCCCAAGGCGAGGATCACAGTGCGATTGTATCCATTGGACCCTGAGTTTATCTCTCGGAAGATGCCTTCCTAGAGCTCCGCATTCGGGCAGGCCAGTCGAATGAGCCGCCGAGCCACAATTCTTGGTAAGCCGGAAAAGCCCCGGCTTCTTGACTGTGGCTGACGAGGTTGCAGGCGCGCAACGTCCGAGCTTCTACAAAAAAACGACAGGGCAGGAAGTAGGCAGGTAAGTAAGGTAGGTACCAAAGTACCGCCAAAGCTCAACACCACTGCTCCAAAGGTGCATCGCGACGGACCGCGTTCGTCTGCCTTGATTCGCAACTTTCGCCAGCAGTGGTGTCTCATGTAGCCTTGGTTGCATCACACACTCGAGCACTGCGGTAATGGCGCCATTGACAGATCAGATCTATTTTCCTCCGCTGGAGGACTGCCTCAAGGGCGAGACCAGCGTTCTGTATGTCTCCCACGCAGCTCCCTGCTGTTGTTTGCGCTGCCTTGTTGATTGCCATTGCTCACATCTGTGCCACCAGCTCCTGGAGGCTCGTCGCCAAAGCTTTAGCTGAGCCCACCGGCGAACGTCGAAGCACAGAAACCCTGTCCAAATTTCTAAAAGACGAACATGTTCGATCACTCCTTCAAGACCCAGCAACTGCATTCAGCCCATCCAACGATGCGACGAAGAAGCAGTTCGAGACGACGACGACTGCCATCAACGTGACCCCGACACCGAACGGCAAATATGACATTGGAACCATAAAGGGGGATGCTGCATGGTTCAGCAAAGCTGGCAATGTCAACCTCGTTGCAGCGCTTCGGATCGTCGTTCTCGAATTTCAGGCTCGACCTGCCGCTCATCTCGCAGGGCCACTATCAACACAAGATGCCGTCAACCTTCAAGAAGCTGCTGGCGTCAGCAACTCTCAATCATCGAGCCTCGTCCCCATATCTGGCGCCACGATGGATGCCGACGCCATATGGGCCGCGTTTGACAAGGAGGAAGCAAAGCGCTTACGCATTTTCCAGACCTACCTCTCAGAGCGTCGTTTTCTGGCCATGGCTGCGGACTTGACGCATGGTGAGACTTTGCGCCATCAGCCCAAAGCTATCACAGGCACCGAAGAGGCTATCGAAGCCACTTACCCTGTCCTACCCGCCGAGGATCTGACCAAGCTGGCGGAGAATCTCATTTCGACCAACCTCAAGTGGATAGCTCGGACAGTCGAGAGCCTTGGCAACGGTTTTGAACGGGAGACTGACGACAAGAGCATCTTGATTGATGAGATCGAGGTTGAATGGCAACGCACCTTGCTGACCGAAATCGCACACGCCTTGGCCACTATTTTCCAGGCCCTGGACAGCCATGGTGACCTTTTTGCGGCCCCCTCGTCTGTCCTTGAATGGTTCACACTAATGGAGTCTTGCGTCTTCTTCGAAGGCCTGTCTGCGGTATGCCTTCCTTGAATTGGGCGATGGAGAGATTGGCCCACTAACGAGAAAAATAGGTTCATGAGAGCATCGCCTCCGTTGTGCTCCCTATTCACACATTAGTCTGCGTGATCTCATTGAAGCTTTTGAATCCCTCAAGGGCAATGGCTTTCCTGTCACAAGACATTGACCTCCACCCCGATGAGAACAACCCTTATCTTGCCTCATCAGACGTCTTGTCAAAGATCCACGATGCCATCCTCACAGCTGCTGATGCCGGCTGCGAAAGCCAGAGTCCTGTCATGTTTGTTTGGACCGTTATCACCCACCGCATGACCATCTCGCACACCGAGCGCTCGGAGAAAAGAGACACGATCCAGAATCAGAGGTCGCAAGACGTCTTCGAATCTAACGATTCGAATGAACCCCAGGCCTTGATTCGACCCAGCACCGGACGCCGGCTGTCCGCGGGCAGCATCGTCTCTCTCGATGGCTTGCCGTTCGACGGATTTCTTGCTGTTTCTGGTCTCAAGGATGACACGCAAGCAATCGAACAGCTGGCCATCGCTGTCACTTCCCAGGGCAGGGTTTATGATATTGTGACACAGATGGTTTTTGCTGCCTCTGCATCAAACGAAGGAAGCTTTGCCCCTGCGTTGGGCACCCGCATTCGAACTACATTCATCGACTTCTTGAAAGCCACTTACCCTCTGGTTGGCTACCAGTCAGATCCCGTCACAGCCTTGCTCTCGGTCCTTTCCGCCGGAAAGAGCTACTGGGATTTATCTCATGATTTGGATCCAGCGCAAGACATCGCCGCTCAAACGCTGCAGGACCCTCGAGCCCTGGAATTCTACTTCGACCAAGCATTCAGCCGCTATCCTTACGAGTTCTTGCCATTCCTAAACCTCTGCCGTTCTCTCACCAGTGCATCTGCCACGGACGAAAGCGCAGATGCGATTATCAACCTGCTTCGCAAGACTCCTTCCCTCACCTTTTCTTTACCCGACAACTTCCAGGAGTACGAGTTGGCGCAGGAAGAGGAGAACACGAACACATTCCGCCTATTGGCTGATATCTCCCTGTTCAACACATCGTCTTCCTGGAGCAGAAGATCCCGCGAGGATGATGCGCTTATAATACCCGCTGGCACCTACGGACGTTTCATCACCGATACTGGCCGTGTTGTACTAATGGAGTATCAACATTCAGCACTCGCTCTTCTAGGCAAACAACTAGAAGTGCATCTTGCATCAGAAACCTTCAACAGTGAGCTGGAGGGTTTACGAACGGAGGACGTTGCAGAAGTTGTTGCACTGCTCTCAATGCTTCTTCAATCTGAATCAATCAAGAGCAAGAAAAAAGGCCTTAAAGGCGAGCTTGTGCTCAAGGCTGGTCTTGAGATCTTGGAAGAGACAAGCAAGCATCTTTCGGGCAACAAGGATATCATCTCCATTGTTTGCAGCCTGCTCGACGTCTACACACAAGACGACCAAGCGACTGCCGATGGCCCTGGTATCCTTGTCTTGACCTCGTGTGTCCAATTCCTCCACGCAACTTTGCCACTTTGCCCAACCCGCGTCTGGTCCTACATGGCTCGATGCGATCTTCTCAACTCGGACTCACGTGCCGGAAAGTTGACTAGGTTGGTCGGCCAACTTGACCTATCACCCGATCGCTTTGATTTCCTGCTTTCCGTTATCAGGTTGTTCTCAAGCCTTGTCGACAGCGTAATGCATAGCGCTATCCAGCGGAAGTCTGGCAACAAGATTGTCGGCCGCCAAAAAGTCTCAAACAATGTCTGGCTCGGAGTTGCGGACAAGGTGCTTGCAAGAGTCAGCCTTGCTATTGCCCAAAGTGCCGTTGATGTCTTCGAGAGCTCCTCTACCTGGCGGTTCCCATCGGAAATCCATCAGACAATACTGATTCAAGATCTGATCCCCATCATGGAGAGGCTTGTGACTGACACATATTCCATCGGCGACCCCAGAAGCCCCGAATCACTGTCCATCTGCTTGCAGCCAGCATCTGACTACATCATCGAGTCTTTCCTCTCTGGCTCCAATGGCTCGTTGAGGTTTCAGGCTCTTCTTGGGACTTGGATCACTGCATTGCGCATCCCGGATTCCACTCTATACCTCGGCAAGCTATCTGCCATCAGGAGGCAGGTAGTTTCGACGATCGGGTTCGCAACCTCATTGCTGCGTGTGGCATCTCTCCTGGAGCGGCCCTCTACCGCGTTTGAAGAGTATCTCTTCAAAGCAACCTCTGTTTTTGCTCGACTGAGCGCTGTTGATGAAGAATTCAAGCAACCCGTAATGGCGCTCCTTGGGGCACTGGTCGTCAATGCTTCTAAAGCTCACGACGACCCCCCATCTCTGCTTGGATATCTCGGTCCGCTCCTGTCCAGATCGTTCCTACAACTCCTGTCAGGCCTCGGAAAGCCATTCCTTCAATCCTCCGAAGTTTGTGCCACATGGCACTTCTTTTCTATCATTGTACAGAACCGACAGCAGTGGATGTCAAACTGCCTGCTCACAGGCAAAACACCTCGCGACGCGCTGAGCAGGGGTGCCGATAAAACCACTGAATCAGCGACCACCTCTGTTCTAAGCACTGCATTCGCTAAGCTGAAGGCCATCAACGACCTGGAGAGGGAGGAGGCGCTGAAGGTTCTCGACTTTGTTGCTTCAGCGCAGAATCACTGGCCGTGGACAATCTTCACGATGCAGAGGGATTCATCCTACTTCGAGTCTCTTCGCCGTTTCGTGCGAGAGCTACAGACCTCAAGCACGACCGCGAGGACAGATGCCACGAAGGCAGCGGTCGAGGCTAAGATGGCGGCCTACATCGCTGAGATCTTTGCTATGCAGCTGTACCATCAGCGACAGATGGGCGGCGCTGAGGAGCTGGCGAAAAGCCTTGTGGCGGATCTCGACTATTTTCTCCGTGATGGTGTCGAGGTGGCAAGCTACAACAACTCACTGCACAACAACTTTACGAAGAACTTTGCGTCCAAATACCCTGGAGTGTCCCTGGACAGCCTCAAGCGAACGGCATTGGAGCCTCGCGAGCTTGGAAAGTGGTACTACTACGCCCTGGATCGTGCAAATACGATGCTTCCTTCGATCCCGGCTGGCACGGTCGACGAGATGATGGATTCAGGAATGAGATGGGCATCGCGAACGCCAACTTGTCTCTGGTCGATGCCCAAATTGTAAGTCTGGCCTGTCCTGAGTGAAGTCTGGCCAGTTGCTAATAATCTCCCAGTCTCTGTTCCACGCGTGGGAATTCTTGCTCCTTGAATTGAGCAGTTCTTTGCCAGAGAACCCTAATGTCCAGAAGCAAATGCTACAAGTAGCCCAGCAGTGTCTCAACGCCAACCAGTCAACTCAAGGTCCCGAGAATATCTTCGTACGCATCGTCGAGGATCGAGCCAACTTGGCCTTGATGTTGCTTCGTCGGCTCGTCGGTACATCTCCTACATCTCAAGACATCAAGCAGATCTTGGGCAGCCTGTTCAGTGTGATCAACGCCGTCCAAGACCCATTCGGACCCGAGTCCATCGAATACCACCGGACCATTCTGAAGACAGTCTATGTCACACTGCGTCTTTACGGCTCCGCGGACAAGGAAAGCCTCAACGCTTCAACATCTGGTCCCAAAGGCTCGTCAACAACCTTGACACAGACTATTCTCAATCTCCTTGATACCGTTGTGGCCAAGGGCTTCAGATCACTGATTAGTCTTGTGCACGACTCGAATGCGGCGGTCGCACCGGAAGATTTTGCCCTCCTAACCGCAATTCTTCAGGCTTGTCTGAGTATGCCTGCGATGGACCAGTGCCAGACTCAAATCCTTTAACATCATGCGTCATACGACGCCATGCACGCAGCGACATCTCTGTTTTCTTGGTCAGACAAACTCTCGACCAACAGCGACCCGATTACGGAGAGCTGAGTCTGCTCTTCCTTTTGGAGCTTTCTACACTACCCACTCTCGCGGAACAGATGGCGGCCGATGGCTTGCTGAGCCACCTCACTTCGGCTAACATTACAAATTACATGCGTAAAGGCATTATCTCGCCATTTTCCGACGTTGTCGGCGCTCAGAGGTGTTACAGCATTTGGGCGAAGGGCGTCCTACCTCTCCTCCTCAACCTCCTCACTGCGCTCGGCGGGACAGTGGCACCCGAAGTCGCCTATGTTCTGAACCAGTTCCCCCACCTTCTCAAATCCAGCGTGGAGAGGTTTGAAGCGCCTGGCGCTAGTCGTACGGCTTCGCGCGATGCACCGCACTACGTCACGCTTCTTGCTGTTTCCGAGGTTCACTCGCTAGCTCTGCTGACCAAGGTCATCGGCGCTCTCCGCGTGAACAACAACCGCGACATTCCTGAAGTTGATTGGGATGCAGCATCGCTTCTGGAAAACATCGACTTCTGGCTCTCAACACGCAAACTTCTCAAGGAGCGGCTGCTGCCCCTGGGTCAGCGCGAGGTCGAATGGAGAGGCGCAGCTATCGACGCTGCCGGGGATGAGAGGAAACCGGACAATGTGCTCGAGGCCAAGGTCGTCGCGCAGATGGAGGCCGTTCGAGACGTGCTCATGGAGGATTTGGAGTAGTTATGTCTATGGCAACTTTTGATATCAGGCCGCCACACTCTCAGGATGGAAGGAAGCATCTTGGGGAGACGAAAACGGGGTTATGGGCGTTGGATGTATGTACTCTTTGCGGAGGGGACTGGCAGTCGCAAGACGAACCGTCGTTGCGGGCCATGTGACATTAGATAGTACGAAATTTTAGTACGGTAGCCATGATACCTCAGATTGGCCTTTCAACATCGATGACCCTAATGAAGTGAGCCAGAGTCAGTGTGCACTGTCAAAAAAGGTAGAATGATGGAGTGAGATTTTGATTTGTTATTTCGAAAGCAACCGCGGCAATGGGGGTTTCATTATCCACCGCCTGCTGTCTATGCCCGCGCCGCCCCTTTCCCACCCTCTTTGTGATGTACACGTTCGAGTGAACCCGCTTTCCCTTCTTCGACCGGCCCGATCCAAGCAGGGGCTCCCCTACCCATCCCACGAACGGGGGCATACAATAATGGTTGTTATACAGGTGTGTGTGATTGTTTTGCTCTGAGATCATGTGTGTCCCTCTCTCCCTCCCTCTCTGAGTGAGGCCTCACGCGGTGCAAGCATGCGCGCAGGGAGTTTATTGCTGCTGCATCTTGGCCGTCATCTCGGCGTTGTGCTCCTGGAAGCGCTCGCTGAGACGCTGCTGGGAGAACATCTGCTTCTGGACGCAGCGGGTGATGCAGCCGTTCTCGCGCGACGAGAGCGTCTTGGACGTGAAGTCGTCGATGCAGGCGTTGAAGCAGTGGTCAACGACGTTGCCGAAGATCTGTGACGTTTGGCTCGCGGTCAGCTTTTTCTTTCCTTCGATTTCGTGTTTCCCCCAAAGGGGCCGCGGCGGCGGATCAGGAGAATCAGCCGAGGTTTCGTAAAGTTTGCATACGGCGTCTATGTCTTCTCCTCATGCAGTGTGGGTTGCTGGCGGGCTTGCTTACGTTCATGAACTCCTTGACCTGGCGCTTCTGGAGACGCTGCTGGAGCATGGCCTCCTCGGTCCTTGTCAAGCTATGGGAAGGAGGTTCGTTAGCGATTCGGTAGTCCTACAGGGGCGCTGGGAGGCGGGTAGTGCGGCGGAGTTTGAGGCGTACCCTTCCATTGTGATGTGTGTGTGTGTGGTTGAAGGACTTTCGGGTGGGTGATTGTAGTTTCGTGATGGTCGTGGTAGGGAAGATGGATTGTCGCGATGATGAAATTTCTTTGGGATGTAAAGCTGTCTGGCTGCGAGGTTGCTATCGCGGCTTGTCAAGAGGGTCTTTGGAGGTTGGGATGGCCAATTGGAGCGCACTTGGCTCATTCGGGAAAGGTAGCGATAAGGATAAGATTGGGCGATAAGCCACCAGGTCTGGACGTTGCTATGTGACTGGGGAACAACCTCATGACTGGTTGGCCCAAGGCATCGCCTTTTCAGAACGTCTTGTCCGAGATGGATTCCGCCGAGGACACGCTATCATGTAGAGGCGCATAGATGCGGTCACTACTAGAGGTAGCTCCCAGGGAGTCTTGGACGGCACAAGCTTAACCAAACTTGCAACATGCCTCTCATGATTTACTCGCAACTCAAACCGTATCTCCAGAATCAATTCAGTCCTCCTCCCTAATGGTATCAAGCCCTACTGGAATAGGGTCACACGTCTCCCAACCAAACGTTCCATCCAAAAAGCCAGTCTTACTACCCAGCGCTCAACTCCGCCCATATTTACATAATCATACAGCAGTGCTTCTCCATCTTGCGCATAAGCTTGACAAGAAGATCCGCACCCTCGTCCTGCTGCTGCTGGGCCTGCTGCTGGCCCTGGTGCTGCTGCTGTCCTTGGTTGTAACCTTGCTGGTGGTGGTGCTGCTGCTGTTCTCCGTGCTGCTGCTGGCCGTGGCCCGAGTAGCCTCCATGCTGCTGCTGCTGCTGCTGGTGATGGCCTTGCTGCTGCTGACCATGGTGCTTGCCACCTTGCGGCGGGAGGACCGCCTCGCCGCCCTGGAGGTTGATCAGGATACGACCCGTGTTATGCTCGTCCGTCGCATAGTTGAGCCCCATCTCGCGACAGAGCTTCTCGACAGCGGGCTTGAGCTTCTGGATGCCGCGCTCGCTGTGGTGGCCCTTGCCGACAATGGCATAGACGTGCGACTGGCCACGGTCGCGGTCGGCGCGCATGCGCATCTCGAGGATACGCTCGGCCTCCTCGACGAACTGGCCGTGCAGGTCAATCTCGTCTTCGTCGATGCGACCAGGGGCATTGTTGGCGCGGAAGATAAAGTCGGACGCCTGCTGGTTGTAAGCGTCTACCTGGGCGTCGTGATGCTTGCCCTGGTTGGAGAGCTCCTTGGCGGCGGCGCCGTCGCCGTTGCGGTAGGCCTCCTTGGAGCGATCGAAGCAAGACCCCCGCTTCTCGGCCTCGGCCCGGGCCAGATCGCGGAGGCGGTCGTACTCACGCTCCGTCTCGTCATCGTCGTTGTCCGTGTGGGCGAAGGCTAGAAGAGGAAGCGTGGTCGAGTTAGCGTCGCGTTCGTTGGTAATGGGGAAAGGTATGTTGTGATGGTGACATCATCTTGCCAAGCAGAAGGGTGTTGGGCTTTGACACGTACCGCGGCCGCCGAGACGGTTCATGGGGATAGACATGTTGGCTGGAGCAAGTAGACCAAATGCTTCAATGGGATGTTGCCAATTGAGGGGTCTCAATGGTGGACGCCGAAGGTTCCTGCTGCCAGACAGCGATTTGAATCTAATCTGAGAGTCGTCGCAAGCTCGTAAAGCTGTGGCTGAACGCGGCCTTCCAAGGCACAGTACCTCTACCAAAAGTGGTTAATGACTTTCGGCAGTGCCCCTGATCACCGGCCGGTAGGTCGACCAGCCAATGGTCATCTCACTGAAGACCTCGCCCACCGCCTTTTCGACTTGTCCCCATTGCTATTCGGCTGAGCAGGTGATGAGTGTCGTGGTCTCAATGCTGGTCGAGCTGAACAAACTGTTGTAAGACTCGCCCAAACCGACTCATGAACAGCCCCGCCAATTCCTCTTGTCGCTGGCTTAATGTCACCCCATGCCCCAAAACGGCCCTCGGCTGATGAAGTGAAGGCCAGCAACCCTGGGTCAGCCCAGCGACGCCGATTCGCCTGCGTTCATCCACCAGCGAGACGGACAATACGGGGGCTGACAGTACCATTGAATCGACCACGCTGATCATGGGACGGTCAGGGGCTGTGTGTGCATCTGGGTGTGTGCCTACTGCAGAAAAGGATCTGCAACGGCTTTCTTGACTCAATAGACAAATCGCCCGCGTTGGAGCAAACATGAAACTCAGGTGGCCAAGCACGCTGTCGCTCTCCATTGCTTCTAGAACCCCCGGAAATCCTTCGGAACAGGAGCGACGGGGAAGACCGATGCAACCAATACCGTGCGCGAGCCAACTGACTGCTGGCAAATGAAACGCTTGTCCACCCGTCCTTGGTCTTTTTCTGGCTCTCGTCCCAAGAACACATCAGATGTGACGTTTCGGGCGGCGGGCGGCGAAGAATACTAGTCATGATATAGATGTAAGGATGCAATGCAAGGTGGCCATGGCAGAGGCAATCCTTCCATTTCCGTTTCGAATGAAGGCTTTATCACAACCCCGCCGGAAGGTGCTGACGACACTCGACGGACGGGAATCAATAATTAAAGAGACGAACCGCCAGCCCGTGGTACGATGCCTCTCATGCCCTCAAAGCAGGCAATCATCGTTCGATGGACTAGGAATAGAGGCTTGCTCGTAATGCGGGCGCGGAACGATCTGTTACTCCACACATGCTCTCCCCTTGCGGTAACAAGCACACCAGAATCCAGGGGCAACTCATCTCGCCGTGGATCGTGAAGGGGCGAAATGTGGGAATGGCCATGTGGCTCCCCTGGCCTCGGAATTGCCTCCTGCGCGAAGTACTGTGACTGCAGCCAGCACTGCACCAGGGGGGGGAGCCTGCTAGTTCCTTGATTTTCTGGCAATAGTCTCCGGCCCAAGCCCGGCAGAGAACAGAGATGCGAGCGAAATTGCCCTTATTTCCAAGACGAAATTTGGCTTCAGAGGGTACACCTGACTCGCTGCTTCTGGAATGTGAGGACGTGCGCTGGATCGCTTTGTAGACCAACCTGTTGCCCTCTGTTAGCTGCATTACATGAACTGCTTGCCTAGCAGAGATGATGCCAAACGATTGAGACTGAAGAGATTTGTGCCGTTCCGGGATGCCTAGGTTGTTGCATGTCTCTGACAATGGACGTTGTAACGACAGGGGCGTCTTTTAGAGATCTGGGGGAACATGCGCCCGCCATGGCCGCCAAGCCGCTCACAAACTTGCTCGACGGGCGATCAGTGTATCATAGGGCACTGACAATGCCCATCAATTCTGCCCTCGCTCTCAGGAGCAACCATGACCAACAATGCCTCATGCTTGCGTGGTTTGGATACCTTACGGGTTCTGTGTGACGACCTAGCCTGGCGTTTCAGCATGAACAGTTGAAGTCACACTTTGGCTCACCTCTTATCCTGTGGTGGGGAAAACGACGTTCTGCCGACACCGAACACTTCGTGAAAGAAGTGTAGTCGTTTCAACGCAGGGGTGGCTGGAGGATAGTTCTTGTTCTTGAAAAGCCATCACTGGTAAACCGACGGGATGAACAAGTCCGAGTGCTGCTTGCTGTTGAGAGGGCGTACGGACGCTTCGGGATCCCCGACCAACACAATCTGCCAGCACGCATGATCAGTTGCTGCCGTAGAGTTAGAAACCCCAAGACGCAAGCGACGCAGCACTGCTTCGATCATTCGATTGACGGGCACCCAGAGGTTGGCCACCTTCAGACAGTCACACTGTACAAGTGTGGCGCCGCCGCCCGGCGCCATGATCACAAGGCTTGAGACCTGGAGAAACCTCTTCATAGCTCCCGTTACTCAACGCCGGCTTCTGTAACCGACTTGCTTGTCGCCTTTGATGCGAAATGTTTGACCAAGTTGATGTCGGTGCATCGTGGGTCTTGGCAGGCCTTAGGCCCCCTTTTGACACCATACAGCATCCAGCAGGCTCCGAATGCAGGGAGAGAGGCTCCGTGGCGCCCAATCATCTCGCGGACAGCAAGACAGACATTGAAGGCTGTCTCTCATGTTTGGTCTGGCCCTGGATCCTACAGACGAAAAGCCCAGCCTATGCGCCCTTGGTAAGCCGTGCGGACTCGGTCATATATCGATTCCCAGAAAAGCAAGTTCTGGCAGTTGAAGGTGCAGAAGCGTCTTTCCAGACTGTCGGTTGATGCTTTTCCAGAAGAACGATTCTTTGTCGTTCCATGGGTACGCCCTTGTTTTGTCGGCACGCTGTCCATCTATTCCAAATGGCCCGGCACCTTCGAGCCGTTGAGAGACAGCGCCCTACATATCGATGCTTTTCAACGAGAGCTGATGCGGACTGGCAACAGTATAGTCCAGTCCAGCGGCATACTGCAGCTGCACAAAAACCAGACAAAGAAAGGTGACAAGGGCAAACGGAACCGGTTATCGAGGCGACGAGTCAAGCAAGCAACCGCGTGTCAACAGCATCCAACCAGTGGAAGAAAGGGATTGTGATGTCCAACGGGCGTCCGCAGCACACTCAGGTATTCAGAGCCAGGCCAGGTTGTTCTCAATGCCTTCTTTAGCGGATACACCGCAGCGTGGCTAATAAAGCTGGCTGTCCGTCATCAGCGATCAGCCCCCCTAACTGATTAAATGAGAGGCCGCTGATCAGCAGGAGATGTGTTGCCTGGATGGTTGCGCGAGCGGACGAGGTTATTAACGGGACACGCCCCCAGCTCACCCGCACGTTGATCCAGTATTTTTGTCAATCACGGCCGTGCAGGCTTCAGCTCCAGCGGGTGGCAAGCTGCAAGCTGCGCAAGAGGGAGGGGTTGGAAGATGGCGCCGGCGAAGCCGCGCTCGGTAGCGCATGTGAGTGCCTGGATTGACTGGCGTGCTCTAAAAGCAAGCTCGACAAGGTACCGACGGCGCCCGTCCACTGGGGCGATGGTTCTGCTTCTGCTGCTACGCTGTTGATGGCGGTTGCCGAGGCCCCCCACGACACCACCAGAAGCCGTCGACGCGCACCGTAGATTAATACGTCGCCGGGCGTCAGGCCTTACACAGAGCTACTCGTCAAATGGGCACCTGACGAGCCCGTACACTTGTTCCCAAGATGGCTGACATCCGTCACTGGTGTCGGCGATGGCTGGAAGAGGTACTTCTGCAGGTCATTGCAGGGGATACCCGCTGGGTGCCTTGGTGCATCCCCTTGCAGGACCTGGGACTTTGTCCTGTACATATGCCGGCAGGTATCTGTCCGCACACTGCACCCAGAGATTCAGTCAGCGTCAGCGAAGTCAGCGCAGCGAAGAGGTGATTGCCGTACCGAGGTCGTGGGTTCTCACCTGGAGCATTTTGGGCGAAGATCCATCAGGAGCGTACATGGTAAGGTACTCAGGACTCCATCGCAAAACCACCACCCACAGACCACGGACGACGATGGCTGGGGTCCGTGATCTGGATGGCGCGAGGAAATTTTACATTAGTCAGGGCGGCGGGCAGGGACGACCAGGGCGGCGAGGCGAGGCGAGGCAAGCAAGAGGTAGCTTGGGTAGTTCCTTCCTCACTTCAAAGACATCGTCGACCTAGCCCGTCTGCGCCCTGTGACTGGACGGCGCAGTGTCCCCACCTGCGACACCAGTGCATTCGGGGTGGGCGCCCCGCCGGGGGAGCGATAGGTCCAGTGTCATTTGTTTAGCATTTTCGCACTGTTACTCCCAGCAACCACTGGGTGCTCTGTGGGCCACCCACACCTGATGCCTTGCTGATGCCTTCCAGCATGTAGTGGAGTGGTCGGGGCGCCCTTGTCGCTGATGGTCCCTTGAGTCTGTCCCCTACTCTGGCATTCGAACGATGCACACAGATCCGCTCCCATACTGTGTACCTGCAGCCCCGTACCACCCGAAACCGCACTGGCGTCTGGCTTATTGTCACCCACACACCCCCGGCCACGGCCTTCTCTCGTCTCCCAGGCCCATCCCATCTCATCCCATCCCCGTCCATGTCCCTTGATTCCCCACCCCTGGCGAGCAAGAACTTTGTCCCTATCCAACCGACATTAAAAGCACCTCCCGGAGCCAAACCAAACCAAAGCCCCTTCCTCTTTTCCCACTTCTCCGACAATCTCCGAAGTCCCGTCGCAACCATCCCATCTCTCACCACGCCGACGATCGGTTTTGTTGCCGTCTCTCGTTCCTTTTTTGCTTCATTCCCATTGCCATCGTCAACTGACTGGTGCACAACGACTGTAGGATTGGTGAGTTCTGCCCTGTGCCGCGCTGTTCCCGTGCAATTCTTGTCGTGATACATTTCCCGGCGGTTGTCTCCTTGGCCGTCTTCTCGTCTGGCCTCCTGAGTTACCAACCTCGAACTCGACACGACCGTCGACACCCGCCTACCCTCATGATCTACCGAACTCGCTCACGACTCTTGGGCAAACACGCCACGTCGGATGCGAAGTCATACACTCGTCGATGAACAACACTGGCCGAAGCTGCACGACATATCACGAGGCGCGCCTTGGCATATCATTCTATTTTGCTCGCGAAGAAGCGTGGGCTAATCAAATATTCTTCATCAGCAGGTCAACATTTGTACCCAAATCTCGCCAATCAGCAGTCACACCAACCTTCGAACTGTCCCATTATAATACACCACCCTTTCAGCACCAGGAAACACCGGCATCATGGGTTGTGGATTGTTACGAGGAGAAGGAGGGCAAGGCCCGGAACGAGGAG